CGTCCGTTATCCCTGTCCCGTCCCATCATCTCCTTCCCCCTTCGCTTCCCCCAGCTCCCGCTGCTCGCTGCTTTCCCACTAATTACCGCTCCGTTTCATCGTTCGCGTTCACGCCTCGACGAAATTTCGACGCCAAGATCGGCGTCGCGATCCACGTTCGTTCCCCCTTCCTTCCGAGAGGAAAACGAGAGGAATCCCCACGATTTGTCCCGCGCACGCACGACGACAAGATAACCAACGAATTTTCTCTGTTTTTTTTCCCTGTCGCAGAATCGCTGGTGCAAGAACTCGAGCTGGAGAGAAAATCGCGGCAGCACCAGGCGGCCGAGAGGGACCAAGTCAAGTCTCCTCTTCAAGGTGGGTTCGCCGACTCGACCTCGTCGCCGCCCCGTCGTCCCTCCATCTCGGCCAACAAATACTTGACGTGGATCGAGTCGAGGTGTAAAAATTACGCGGACCGATTCCGAGCAAATACCCTTCCACCCGCGGAACACTCCAATACGCTCGATTCGAACGACCAACCAAACTTCCGGATCTTTAATTAGAAAGTCTCTCGAGGGGAGAGAGAGAGAGAGAGAGAGGGAGATTGGGAATCGAGGAGGGTGTGTTTCTTACAACAACGGCACACGCCGCCGGATTCGAAACTTGGCGTCGCCTCTTGCCTCGCGCGCAAACTTGTACCAAGTTAGGAGAGGGGAAAGGGGGAGGGGAGGGGCAAAAAACGGCGTAACCGGTGTGGCGCGCCATTTCGCCGCTCTTTCTCCTTCTCCCTTTTTCTTGCGCCGCATCTCCTCCCCCTCCACCCCTCCAACGCTGCTTCGTAAATAATCGTTTTTCTCCCCGCGAAACCGCCGAGATCCACCGCGGCTTGCTCCAGCCGCTTAACGAGTAGGTCCCCTTAATTGGCTTCCTTAGAGGCTCCGCTCTTCATCGAATATAACCGTCCTCCTCCCCCCCCCCTTCCTTTAGGTTGCCGAAATTAGCCAACGATTTCGAGAAATTTCCATTTCTATAAGCGATAGACGATAGACCATCGAGCGAGAGGAACGTGGTTTTCGAGAGAATAGAAATTCCTCTCTCTCGCGTCGAGAGCGAGAAAGAATTATTCTCTTCGTATGAGAGAGAGAGAGAGAGAGAGAGGGGGAGAAGGTGTGGTAATAAGAAACGGAGTTAAATCGAGATCGGTGGACTATTAAGGAGCTCGCTGGTGATTTTCAATCATAAGCGACAGTTGGATAAAAAGTCGAGTGGCGGCTCGGATCACAAAGGCGCCCTAAGGGCCCCCGATGAGTCGACCGGTCTCGTATCCACGAATCTCGATAGGTCTCTCCCTCTCTCTCTCTCTCTCTCTCTTTCTCTCCTTCCCTCCCCCTCCCTCCCTCTCAAATGTTCGTCCACGTCTCAAGAGGGAAGGATAATTAGTGAGCGGCGCCTCTTCCACCCGAACGATCATCGAATCATTCGCTCGGCCCTTCCCCCCTTATTCGCGATCGCTTCATCCGCGAAATGAAATTTCGAAACGGGACCGATCGTCGTCGATCGACGTGAGATCGACGCGAAATTCCCACTCCTCCCTGCCCCTTCTCCTCCCTTCCTCCATTGCCCCCGCAATTCGACACTCGCCGCTTCGAGAGACACACTCCCGAACTCTTGACCGCCGCTTCTGTTTCAGAATCACGGACGGGTTATTACAAAAACTCGGTTCTGTTCACGAGCGCAACCTAGAAGAAGAGGGCGGAGGAAGGAAGAAGAGGGGCAGAGCGCGTTCCAGCGAGCAGCCAAAACGAGTGAGATCGAGATCGATCGGTGGATGGGAGCGCAGCGAGGGGAGGAAAGTGTGCGCGGAGCTCGCACGCGCCCTCCGTCGAGGATACGGCCAAATCGATCGGAATCCACGCGATCATCCGTGCTCGCGGGGGGAGGGAGAGGGAGAGACACTCTTCGTCGTGTGATTTCGTGCGATCCTCGTGGGAGGAAACGGCCGTCTAAACGTCTAACGATTCGTCGAAAGGACGAATATCGAGGCGCGTGAACGTCCCCGTGAAAGGAAGGGGGAGCGCGGTTTTCGAGAATATAGAATGTATCTCGTTTACGAGAACTCGACGAAGAAGAGGAAGAGGAAGAGGAAGGGGAAGAGGAAGAAGAAGAAGAAGAAGAAGAAGAAGAAGAGAAGTGCGCGCGCGAGTTCATCAAAATGTCGCGAGTTCGACGAGGAAACGAACGGATCGTTCGAGAAGAAGCCTCGATCGAGGTGGCGCGCGACGGACCGATTTCGATCAACCGAGCGAGAGGCGGTCGACTTTGGGGTCGAGATGGAGACACATATCAATGAGAAAAAAACACGAGGCGATGTAAAGCGTGTATTCCTTTCTTTCTTTCTTTCTTTCTTTCTTTCTTTCTTGTTTTTTCTTTTTTTTTTTTTCTTTGTTTTCCTCCCCCCGAGTATTCGTCCCATCGTTTCTGAAACGGCGGCGTTACGCCACACGTTGAAAAACCTTCCCGTTCGACGGGAACGAACGCCACACGTATACCACGTATGTATGTATATCGATTTACTACCCAGGGACAAAAGAAAAAAAAAAAAAAAAAAAGAAAAGAAAAAAAAGTCGAAAGATCCGCGCGTCGCTTTCGCGTTTTTCTTTTTCCTTTTTTCTCGTTTTTTCCCTTCTTTTTTTTTTTTTTTTTTTTTTTTTTTTTTTTTCCTCCTTCTTTTTTTCCCCTCGTCAAAGCGGAATTTGAACGCGAAAGTTGAAAGTCTTTGCACCGACGATTCATCATCGACGATTATTCATCGGCGTGGCGAAAAAAAAAAAATATATTTCTAAAGACTGCTTGAGAGTGCGTGCGCGCGTGCATGCGTTCCTAGAGGTACCTATCTCCTAATTATCGACCGACTTCAATTAGATAATCGTGATTAAGCTGTACGGACGATCGGGCGCACCCTCTCGGTTTCGAGTATTATTATCATTATTATTAATATTATTTCCCCGAGGGCGGTGTGCCAGGCTCGAAGGTTCGATCGTCGACGGTCGACGGGGAGGGGGAGGGGGAGGGGCGCGAGCGAAGGAGAAATGGAAGAAAACGCACGGTTTTTTCGAGACGACGCGGCCTCGTCGACGATGCGCTCCGATTTCAACTTTCCTCGTTCGAAAACAGCGAGAGACACCGTTTATATACACCGCGATTAGACCAGAGTCGGGATTCGACGAGCCGCGACTCGATTTATCCTGTATCATATAGAACGAGAGGGGAATTGCGTGAATCCCGTGCGAATGATGACGAGAGAAAGAGAGAGAGAGAGAGAGAAAGAGAGACTTTTGAAGAGAAAGAATATGGGACGATTAATGGGATCGTGACGAGAATTAGAGACGATTCGCGAGGGCGAAGCTGAATTAGCGATTTAGGATG